GGCCGCCGCCCCTCCCCGGCAGCCCCTTGCGTCCGGGGCTGAGTTTCCCAGCCGGCTGCGCGCAGCTAGCAGGGCGGCGGGCGCGGCCCGTTTGAAGCGAACCGCCGGCTTGGGCAGCGCTGCCTGCGCAGGACCATCGCGGCCCGAGCTGGCCTGCGGGCCCGGGGGGGACCAAGCGGCTTGGGGCGTGGGGACCCAGGACGTGCAAGGCGGAGGAAGGAAGGGAAAGCGGTGCCGGCCGGGGAGGGGCTGGATAGCAGCGAGGAGGTGATGCCGGACCCGGAGGTGAACGCGGATCCGGCCTGGGACAGGAGGTGAGCCCGGGGCCCGCGGGGCCGAGGCCAGGCGTCCCCTACTGCCCAGTCCAGTCCCCGGAGCCCGGGCGAGCCTGGCCTGCCCCCTCCTCTCCCTGCCGGCGCTTCCCACGGGGAGAGGAGGAGGAAGGGGGTGGGGAGGAAGGGCCGGGGAGGGCGGGCGCAGCGGAGGGGACTGTTCGGAGCGGTCCGCGCCCCCGCCCCTCCTGCTCTGGGGACGAAGGCTCCTCGCGCCGGGCCGGGTCCAACAAGTCTGTCCTCCGACGTCAGGGGGTCATTAATAACCAATTAGGAGGGTCACTGCGGCTCCTATAAAGGCGCTGAGATTTTGCCAAGAGGAAGACGGTCCCGGCCGGGAGTGCGAGGCGAGCGCGCGTCCGAGAGGCCCTCGCCGCGGTTCCTCTGCGGCCACTCGCCGCCCCGCACCCCGCACCCCGCACCCCGCCGCCGCGTCTCTCCACCCTCCGCGCCGCCTCTGCCGTCTCCGCCCGTCTCCCCCCGGCTCGCTTTCCTCCCAGCCCCTCCCTCTCCGCCCACTCCCTCCCGGTCCTCCTCCTCGTGCTCCCCTGCTCTCTTCCCTGTCGTCCGTCGCAGCCCTCTCTCTCGCTCCTCTGTCCCTTGTCGCCTGTCCACCTCCCCACCTCCCCGCGTCTTGCCCGGCCGGCCGTCCCCCGGTGCCGGTGCCGGTGCCGGCGAGCCCTGGGCCGCCCATGATGGGCTCCGTGCTCCCGGCTGAGGCCCTGGTGCTCAAGACCGGGCTGAAGGCGCCGGGGCTGGCGCTGGCCGAGGTCATCACCTCCGACATCCTGCACAGCTTCCTGTACGGCCGCTGGCGCAACGTGCTGGGCGAGCAGCTCTTCGAGGACAAGGGCCACCACGCGAGCCCCAAGACGGCCTTCACCGCCGAGGTCCTGGCGCAGTCCTTCTCTGGCGGTGAGTCGCGCCGTCGGAGCCCCCCGGTCTCCTCTCCCCGGCGACCCCCAATTCCCCGGACCCCGCGCCTGCTCCAGCCAACCCGGGCGCTCCCGACGCTCCGTGAGCCTCAGTGTCCCCGGGGCGGGACCCCAGCCCTCCCCTGCTGTCCTCTCCCCGCTCGGAGCCGGCGGGTTCCCGGCACTGAAAGCCTTACTAGGCGTGTAATAGCAGTTGACTCAAAAAGAAGGGGTTTTAAATTCATTTAGTTAACTTGGGCTTGACCCGCGAAAGTTCCCACTTAAACCAGGAACTTTAAAAGGCGGAGGGGGCTGGGGAGGGGCGGGGGGCGGGCGGCCGCGAGAAAAGGCGGCGGAGAGAGCGGGGGACAGAAGGACGGGGCCAGGAAAGTTTCTTTTCTTTAAGATGTCTCAAGTTCTTATCCCCCATTCATCACCCCGCAAACAATCTCTCTCCCCGGCGCTGGCATCCCTGCGCGTCGCCCGCTCTTCCCCTCCACGATTTCTGTTCCTCTCTTAATTTACCGTGAAGACTAATTCCACTTCCATTCACGCTATGTCAACCATCTAATCCCCCCTTTTTGTAAGGGGAATTCCTCGGCCCCTTTTAAACAAGTCCCCTCCGCATTGAGCGACAATTTACTGCTACAGCATTCTTCCAGGGCTAATGAATTTAGAATTAGCAATTTCTTTCGAATGGAGCCCAATGAATGCGATCACTTTAACCGCGTGACAAATTGCCGGCCGCGCCGCAAGGGACACCGTTTAACCCCCCCTTTCAGCCGGTCCGCTGGCCGGGGATTTTCCCAGGTAGCTTAGAGGGGAACCTTGTAAGACACGGAGGCCGCCCCTGTGCGCCTCGCCGCTCCCACCCCAGCGGCAGAGGCCCGGCGGGGGGACCCTCGGGGGTCT